CCCTCATCCAGTCATGAGCAAGAACAAGCTACAATTGTTGACTGAATTTGATTCTTTTGTATTTTCAAAATACACACTTTTGTTGATCATGTGTATGTTTGTTTTGGTTCTTTTTGAAACACAGCTTTAATTTGAAATACTATTTCAAACTACCCCAAATTCCTAAAGCAAAGCTAACACTTTGGAAAAGCTCCTGTTCATGCACAGCTCCCATGGTTCCTAGGAGAAACAAGGCCTTATCCTTGTTTCCTTGCTCTCTTTTGGTTTTGTTTCTTTTTATTGAAAGCAGCTGCTGCTCTGCAGAGTTGGGACCTGTAAAGGGGTGGATGGTGAGGCAACCTTCATCCCACCTCATTCCTCAGCTTGTAGCACATGGTGATGTTTAAGAGGAGGTTCTTGGGGATAAGCCTTGCTCTGAGTAAGTGAGAGGTACTGTGTAGATACAATTGCAACCTGGCTTCAACATGGGCGTGGGATGGGATTTAAAATCTCCCTTGGAATGGAAAGCAGGAGGTGATACAGCCCTGCAAACCCCAGTGTTTTCAAAGCATCTTGCACAAAAGTACCACCAATGGCACATCACCCACGAAGGGACCTGAGACCTGAACGTGAACCTGACTGTTGCATGCAGGGCAAGTGCACAGGGACCCACCACCTATTTATTTATAAGGAGGGAGTCAGTAGGCTGCCAAAAACAGTCCACAAGATGCTACTAATGAAGCCAGTGGCACTGAGGTGGTCCTTTTAGCATCTTGCACAAAAGTACCACCAATGGCACATCACCCACGAAGGGACCTGAGACCTGAACGTGAACCTGACTGTTGCATGCAGGGCAAGTGCACAGGGACCCACCACCTATTTATTTATAAGGAGGGAGTCAGTAGGCTGCCAAAAACAGTCCACAAGATGCTACTAATGAAGCCAGTGGCACTGAGGTGGTCCTTTTTCAAGGACCAGCTCTATGACTCTTTCTTTCCCATATACTCTGTGGATGCCACTTGACCCAGTGCTTTTAATGAAAGGCAGACTGGGCTCTAGTTTTCTCCTTGGGATTTTCATTATGGAAAGAAGTCGCAGAATGTTTTTCTTACAAAGGAAACACAGACACAAAGATTCTAAATCCCATTTAGTGTCACAGTTTGGGAAACAGAGCTTAGACCATTTACATACCATTTAGGAAATCTCTTTGCGTGTCCAGGACCTGGTTGATGTCCTGCACCCAAGCCTGCTGAATTTCTGGATTAGCTGCCTGTAAAATGACTCTTTCTGATGTTTCCCGGCTCATTAGAGCAAATTTGCAGGGATCATTGTCCACATTTTCTTCAATGATAAGGTAGTTCATCTGAAACAAGCCAAGGTAAGCATGTTACATTGAGCATGAGTTAACGTTACCCAAGAACCAAAACTGTTGTGAAATATTCCTGAAAATAACTGAGTCTATTAACAAACTGTCAGATCATAATCAGAAGAATTTGCCTTGTCTAGATTTACCCAGATAATTCTAAATCTTCAATATGATGCTTAATAAAGCTCTGACAGATGTACCAGACATCCTCCTGCCTTGTCTTGAATTACAGCTTCTATTTTAAGGTAACATAGATCTGACTGATGTGCTAAAAATTTACTGTAACCCATAAATAGAGTAAAAATGTTCCAATTAATATGTCAATAAAGTCTATCATTCCTCCAATTTAAGTAAGTGTTTACATTTCTTGTCATCTACAGAAAAGAAAGTCTCAGTCAATAGAGTATTTTAAAAATGGAATGGACTGTGCACAGGGATATACCAGAAAAAAAGGGCAATTCTCCTCTGATGCTCCAGCAGATCTTATTTCTAGCAGATCAGAGTCATCTGTGTGTAATCACTTCACTTGACTGTAGTCACAGATACTTTTTCTAGAAATCACATGGATGGCAATTTTGGCTGCTGTCCTGCTCTTGTGAGGCTTCTGTTTAACTCATAACTTTAGCTTTTCCTGAGACACTTCAGATTAGTAAACAAGAATAGGTTTGCATAGCCTTTCTAAAAAGAAAAAAAAACAGCAGAAAAGAGAGGGAGAGTCCTCATGTTCAAAGCAGACAGCTCTGAAGACTAAGGCAGTAACATTCCTCTAGAGGAAGCCTATGCCAAATTGCTCTGAGTATCTGTCCAGGTATGAAGAGATCTACTCCCTATTGGAATACTGTCCAGCATTTAAACTGCAAGAGGGAAGGAGCCTCTTCCTTTGCTTCTGGGGGTCCCTGAAGTTAGAAGGACATGCAGGAACTCCCCTAACATGGGGACAAGAAAAGGAACAGACAGTGAGCTCTGGATAGTTCTCTTCCTCTTGTTCTGAGCTTTCTCCTCTGGTGGATAGCCAAAGCAAGCAAGTCAGTCCTGGTATGACTCCACGAAAAAGATGTGTAGGTCAGAGTCCCTAACCTCCTATTTGTGTCTCAGGGAGGTGCATTTGCCAAGGCCCCTTCTTAGGTATTTTGAGAGTCTGAAAGGTATCCAGCTGAGAAGTATCCAAGAAGGGATGTGCCATTTCTCAACACTAACTACCTCACTGAATAAAAAAGGGTTCTTTGCTAATGTAGGACACTGTGCTGAAGCTTCTGTCACAGTCTGAGTGTGATAGACCTTGGAGAACAATATTTGGGAGTCTCATCTCCCTGACAGACCAGAACAGCTGCATTTGAAGTCATATGCACTTTTTACTCTATTGGAGAAACCTCAGTGGGCAGCACTGGCCATGACACAGAGGAAAGAAACAGGATCTATGGTGCTGGCTCAGGTGGAGGCTCCACTGTGAGATGAGGCTGCCCACAGCCCAGAAAGGCAGAGAATGGTCCTGCTGTAGGAAATGGTCCTGTTCCACTGCAAGCCACAGCTTGTCTCTGTGAGAAAGTGTGAGAGAAATGCAAAAGGAGCCTGAAACTGCTTCAGCAGGGGCTGGGAGGAAGAGTGTGAGAGCTGCCTGCACACAGACTCCACACATAGAGCCACTGAGGATCCCACACTTGCTGTAGGCACTCAACAGGAGAACAAACTGTTTGCCAAATAGAAGAAAAGGGACTGGGAAATTATCACACAAAAATTTTGAACTCAGGCAGTGGGAACAGCATTCCTTTCGTAGGCTGTTTAACTGGAAAAGCAACTCATACCCTTGAGGCAAGCTAATTTTATTGACATTAGGAGAGATTTATTTTTCTCTCTTTATCTACAATATACAATTTGGGAATTGTTTCCTGCAGATAAAAGCCTCATTGTTATACATACAATAAACTGAAGTAAAAAAGATTCATGCTATTTCCATCTCCAACTTCAATAATGATTCAAATCAGCAAAAAGATAAAATCAGAGCTGATCATCTAAATCAAGATGATTGTTTATTTGTACACTTTAGGTTTTCCCTTCATAGCCTATTATTTGGTTGGAAACTATAAAACACACTGACTTGCAAATGGATGTAAGCTTTTCAGTAAATGCTGCAGTTCCTGTCAGCCAAGAAGATGCCCTCATTTCAGTAAATATGCTGTTTGTCATAGATTTGTTTAGCTATACATGGTTAATATGCATTATTTCACCTGATATTGTTCTTTTCTATTTCATATTAATGCACCATTTAAAATTTAGAGCAAGCACAATGCATTCTCCCACATCTCTTTTAACCTGCATCTTTGAAAAGGAAATCAATCCCAGACTGGTTTCTCAGCTTTGAACGATCAAGAAATTCAAATGAACCAGTGATTTTGCTCTTTCTCCAGGCACAGCAAAGACTGTTCTACCAGGCCATGTGCAGCATTCATTCACCTTCACTTACCATTTCAGAGCTTAACTTTGTATTTGTTAAACAAGCATAAACCCCCTTAAACAAACAAAGAAATAAAGAAGTATTTTCTCTGGTTACTTTCAGTTTTTATCAGCTCCAGCCCCATAATCCGGACAGATTATTTAAACCCAAAATTAATTTCTTAAAACTTTCTTATAGTTTAGCAGGTTTTATAATTCCTCCTAGCTGCGTTTCTAGAACTATGTGAGGTTTTGTTTGTTTTTGAAATGTTCTTGCAACATTCACTTTTCTATTAAGAGCCTTCCCCCAAATCAGGGAGAGCATTTCCAGTAAGGTCACATAAAGGCCTAGTATTGACTTACAATTTGGCCTAAGATGACTGTTTTGGATACTGTACCTTCCTCTACCTTTTATGACCATGCTTAAAAGCGATTATTGTATACTTCCTTTGACTATTGCAGGCTTTGTAGCAGTATTTGCTAACTCAGAGCTATGAATGACAGAGGACCTGTCCCAACTGTGTTGCTTGTAAAAATTACCCAGTGAATTCAGACACCTGATGATTTATTTGGAGACAGTCTTCAAAGGCTTCTGAGCCACTGAAAGGTAAATGCAAATGTTTTCTGCACATTGCTGTCCAGGATGAACCTCATGGCATAGAACATTGGTAAGGTTTCCTTACATGACCATCAAACAGAATGCCCCTCCCTCTCCATTCCATACCTTTATGCTTTTCTTGAACATGTAGCCTGGTGTTAAAGAACCTTTCCTAAGGAGTTCGCTGAAGATAACTATTTGCTCAAAGAGAAACACTCTACGCTCCTTCGGTCGGGACTGAACGCCGGAATCCTGCTCTGTCACATAGAAGGTGTCCTGCTGCAGCAATTTGCCTTGAGCTGTCAGTTTGCCCTGAGAAGCAGACAAGGCACCAACATTACAAACCCTGACCCACCATCATCCCACAAGACGAACTGTTACATTTTGTGCAGCCCAAATTTTTCATGCATTCATACAAGAAACAACCCCTCGAAGTTATTAAAGCAGCAATCTTGTAACTCATTACCTCAGTTTAAGTAACATAGGTTTTCTTTGCTCTCACTGCCACTGATTGTGCATATAAAACCAAAAGCAAGAGCTCTCAAGCAGATAGTTTTGTATACTTCATTTCAAATACTGTTGCCATTATCTAGCTTGTTACTGTAGTGTCTTGTTGCCTCTAGTCATGAGCTCTCCATCACCCCCTAAGCCACCACTCT